AACGTTCAACCAAAGACTTGGTTCAATCTACTTCTTGGGAAGCATTACGCTATTTAGCAGCCATCCTAGCCTTACAATCATCCATCCTTGCTTGAAGTTCCTTCATCTTTGCAGCCAATGTCATCATTAAAGAATGTTCAGCCTTATTGGCCAGTCAGCCACTTTGAAAGAATGGGTAGTTACAAACAGAGTCTAAACGGTTAAGAACTGCCCAAGGAGTATAAGAAGAAGAGGAAAGCAATGAAGAAAGCCCGGACAAAATTCACTCTCAAACAGAGAATATGTAATTTACTTTTTTCTTAGATTAACTTTAATTAATTCATCTCCTTGTACTTGTGTGCTTGCGCCCCTTGGAGGCATCTTTTTCCTATCCAAACTGTAATCTTCACATTCGATAAACACCCCTTTTTGGGACTTTGTTCCAAGAGATTTGTTCCTTACACAAACGTCTGATCCTCTTTTAATTGTTAGCGAGTAACCACGTGAAACACATCCTCTGCTCGTATTTTATCGTGTCGAGAGTTCTCACGTAAATCTTGTGTTCTTGTCCTTATTTTTCCTATGGCCTATTCTCGTTTTTTCATAACAGAGTTTATATCTAAAATAAGTTATTTCATTAGTTGTAAATTTGAAGTCAACCATCATAACAGCTAGGATATGCATATTTCCCTTTATTCTTATTTGCATGAAAAAGAAACGCAAGAAATAATTATATTTTATGAGAGAACAAAATTTCCAACAGTGAATAGATAAATTTTATTCAAATTTTCCAGTTATACCAAATAACTACACTATTAGATAAAATAAAAACAGGAGAGAATAACATTGCTGTATTTTTCATATTTCATTCTTTTCCTATGTGTTATTTACCTAATTATTATTTTTATTCATTATTTTTTAAATGTACATAATAATTCCCTTTTCTTCTCTTTTCACCAGCCAAAAATATCAAAACAATGTAGTTTTGACAAAATTTTATTCAGATAAAAAAACTAACATGGTTTTCCAACCATGCATTTTAGTGGCCCTGCGAATTTTGTGAGCTCGTAGACCTGTGTAGCGGGGGCAGCGGGTAGGGCATCAGAACTTTCCGGGTGTTTCTTAGACCAATTCGGGTCTCCAGATTGAATAAAAAATGCTCCTTGTAAGAAAAGATCTCCTTCTGATCTCCATGTCCATTGCTTCCATTCCGATTCTTCAGCATAGTCCCTCTTTGTCACCTGCACACGCGACAGATACTCAAAAGACTTGGTTTATGTGTTTATAACTACACGAACATTGCCCCGTTACAATTTAGTTTTAAATGCGAGTTTTATCTAATGTGGTTGCTAGAATTAGTATGAAAAAGAGTAAAGAAATCTTTGAGTTGTAAGATGGGCAGATGTACTTTCAAAGCGGATAATACGTAATGAGTTAATGACTTATGCACAGAAGTTGGATCGTTACAATTTTTTTTTTAATTAATGTTCATGGTCACATAGAAAAAGGGCTCTATCAAGTCAACTAATTGAGTGGACATCCGCTATAAAAGGAAGAGTGGAATATAATGACCTAACGTAATTGTCACTTGTTACAAAAAAAAGGCGTGTTTTTAAAATTATTATTCGTGGTCGCCTAGAAAAAGGGTTCCATCAAGTCAACTAATTGGTTGGATGTTCGTTATTAAAGAAGAGTGGAACACAACGACCTAATTGTATTTAAGTTAACCCTACATTAGGAGCAATTTTATTGGTAAATTTATCCTATGTAGCTGTTACAACATGCATGCATGCAACTTCATCCAGAGATTGATATTGAGTGTGATTCTTAAATGAATAATGTTATTGATAGTGAAGACTATCGGTAGTCCTTTTTCGTGGTATACATATGACAGTTTGTTATTTGATGCATTAACGAGTGTGATTCTTAAATACCTCCTTCGCAAAGGCATTTTGAGGAGGTGCGGTGTATCGATTGCCCTGGCTAATAATGGTAGGATGTTGACTGCCACCAACTGCATACATATTCCAGTGTGTGTAATCATTGTTGACAACATGGATGTAACCATATCGACATCTTGGCATTCTTTGTACCAATCTCTTGCCAAAATGATTGAAAGCAACTGTTATTTGCATCTTCTCGTCCTGCGTGTAGCTATTGCTTCCACCAAAAAGCATCACCTAACCAAAACATTTTGTCAACACAAGTACGAGGTGTAAGCAGGTGTAGAGGTGCAAATCGAGTGGTGTTTGGCATATCGTTTTTGTTTTTCAAGCGTGGGCTCCTAAAGCTAGGCCAGATACCTCATTATGATCAGTGTAGTGACCGTTGGAGATAGTGATCCCCGTGGATGCTTGAATTGCATCAATGAGTCCGTCGTAGCAATTTTTCATTGAAACATGATCAATCCAAATATTTTGAGACCCAAATATTGAAATGCCATCCCCATCACTCTTGGTTCGGAATCCATAATGTTCAACGGAATCCCTAATAATGCCTCCGCTGGCCGGAACAATGTCATGAATGTAAAGTCCATGGATTATCACATTCTTCACAAATTGAATAGTAATGCCTGCCCCATGAGCAATATGGATCGTCGCACCACGGCCGTCAATCGTTTTATCGCCTTCCATTATTAATTCTTGGTTCAACTTTATGTCCATACTTCGTTCAAATATGATCCACAATGGCTCCTTTTGGATGACGGCATGGCGTAGGGTTCCGGGTTTAGGATTGACCATTTCATCGTCGGATGAATCTGTTACCACGTAGAACTTCCCAGCCTTTCCACCCTCGGTCTTGTACCCGAACCCGAGGGCACAATCTGCAAGCCTTTTTCGATTATCGGCCCAGTTGGGTTGGCACCTCCAGCACCTGTCAATCGGGTTTGTTGCCATGCATTCACCATTATTGGCCTGATTTAGTTGTCGTCTTGTGCTATTCAATCCATCTTCTGTATTTAATTCCTTCAAACTCCTGAAACCATCATAAATTATGGGAGAATCGTGTTTTGTGCTCAAAAGGAAATCGTTATTAATTGCCTATCTAACATGTCATAGTAAGAGGTAAAATGTAAATATATAGATTTATCCATTTTTTTAAGTGATACGGTTCAATATGATATAGGAACCCATTCTCCAATCGGTTCAAAAAGTTTTTTCCGTCTCATTTCAGGATCAAATCTTTAGCATGAGATGCTTTGTATCTATGGATGAGAGGAATCCAAGCGGCTAGGCCATTTTCCTATCTCAAAAGGGGCATATGCGGGGGGAGGAAAGGAAATTTACCCGACAAAAACTTATGCTTGAAGCTTTGATAAACAAAGAATAATCAGTTCTACGTAAAAATGAATAATTTTTGTGTTCTCTAAGCTTTTGGATGAGATTGTTGGACAATTTACAATACCTGTGGATATTTTCGTTGAGGTGCATGACTATCTTTTCTGGATTTGGCTCATAGGACTCGAGTGTTCGGTTCCATGATTCTGCAGCTCTTTTCTCCCATACCGTATCCAAATGCATGTCACTTTGAGCCCTAACGAAACTGGAAAAACTTGCAACAAAAAATACAAAAAACAAGACGAAGATCCTTGAATTATACTTAATTAGTTTCTCCATCTTTCTTTTTCTTCAATATATATATTTTTGTATAAATTTTCTTGCTTCTTTAAATTGCTACGGTCTGGGCCGAACCCCCTCAACTCTTTGGGTTGAGACCCTTTATTCCAACAAGACCGAGACTGAACCGGTTAGTATGAAAGGTGTTTTCAAGAAGAAGAACGAACAACCTTGAAATTGTCTTTGTCATGTTTCAAGATTTGCTTAAATACTTGATATTCTTAAAAAAGACATCCTTAAAATTTCCGAAAAGCAGGGACATCCACTTTTTCCAATGGTCAGTAAATTGTCAGTTTATGTGCACACATTATTTTGATAACTGTCAAAGTTATGTGGTGTGTGAAATTCTTGCCTCCACAAATTTATCCTAAAACTTGACCAAGTTTGGGATATGAGTTTGGAAATATCTAATTTACATCAAACTAAATCTTATTTTAAATGACTACTTTATTATTTTTCATGACATAGGCTTGATGTGACATTTAGCCCCCTGTCAAACAGAAGTTTACTGAAGATTCATATAGTGTTAACTGATAAAGAAGAATCAAGAATAACAATTTAATTGAAAGGGATTGATAAAGAAAATCATTTCACCTTTGCTTTATTTGGAAGTAACGAAGGAAAAAGCGATGGGAGGAAGAAAATGCCCTTAAAATGTTTTTAATGCGCGTTGTACTCTAGACTATTGGTAGTCGTTCTAAGTGGTATATCTGTAGCAGTTTGATATTTGATGTATTACTGTAATAATTTTTTATTGTCTCATGAATCAAATAACAAATTGTCATATGTATGCCACGTAAGACGACTATCGGTAATCCCACTATGAAGAACATTAATCTGTAGGCTGAAACTTGACAGCAAAAGAGATGTTAATTTTCCATCAAGGAACCGTGTGCACTAATTAATTATGCCCTATTTGGTGTAGATTGAAATTAAATTTAATATATTTTGATAAAAGTTAATAAAATATTTGATTGAAAAGTTGGGTCCGTAAAATGTGTGTTATTAATTTTAACTTAAAATTTTTATCAACTATTAATTTAGATCAACAAGATGTCAGTCTCAAAATATTATCGCCAAAAAAAAAAAA